CCCCAAAACCCCAAAACCCCAAAACCCCAAAACCCCTCTGTGCATAATATTAATTGAATAACAGTTAATTTAATCAAATTTTTCTTCGAATTCCGTGTCTTCCCCACCATAGCACTCAGGCAAATTTTCTGGCTCGACTAATTCCAATAGCTCCTCCTTCATCTGCTTCTCATTTAGGAATTTAACCTTTTGGAGAGTAAGCTCATGAATAAATGGCTTAATCATTCTCCACATCATATTTAGCAAGAATGAAGGCCTGACAACTATCATCTTTGATCATACTTCTGGGAGGTTGTCCTCTAGGATAGGGATTGCCTTCTTAAGGATCGCGATATTGACATTCTTCTTCCCAATACCTTTCATGTCGTAGATCCCAAGATGACTCTCAACATGAGGCTTAAAAGCCTTTCTCATATTCTCAAAATGCCAGAATCAGTAATCTCTGATCTCTTCGAATGAATACTTGGATGGGAAGAATTTGGCCATTTTTGTATAAATCAGTGGTCTCTCTAACTTATCCTCCTTATGGATTCAGAATATCTTCTGTGGGAGGATGTTTGCTATCCTAGATTCATCCACATGCCAGAGGTCATTATCGTTCATGTACTCTAAATGGGCAAGAATTTTATTCTCGGCGACATCGACTACATATTCCATGCCATGTAAGAACCTTATCAACACAGATTCTGTGATTTCTTTATGTCCATGCTTATCATGAATACGGGCTCTTAATTCATGATAAGAGTCGATCTTCTCTTGTCCATCCAGACGCTCAACTCACCATTTGAGCCATACATTGTCTCTAATAAACAAGCTTCGATCAAGATTTTCCTCTGAGTTGTACTTAAATATTTCTTCTTGGGGGAGTTCAGCCTCTTTTGCTTCTTCATGGGCAACTTCTTCATCAAGTTTTATTACTTCTACAGCAGATGCAGCTGTGTTATTGTTGCTTTGAGAGTTAACTATTTTCTCAAGCTTGAGCTTCTCCTCCTGCTGGTCCTTCTCATACTGCTGTTTTGATATCAAGTTTTCCCTAACCATCGAGAAATATTGAAGGTTATTCTGTAGAACCCTTTCGTATCAGAATAAAGAAATGTTTGCCAGTGATGAAGAAATCACATCTGTAAGAGGCTCCTCCATGCTTGTTTTAAAGAATGATGTGTTATGGGTAACTGCGAAAGAAGTCTCAAGCTTTGTACGTGAGGAAGATAATCTCTCCCCTCGAATTTTAATGCTCAAATCTATGTTCTTTGGACTTGATCTTAAAGTATCTGTACTGACCGTTTCTAGAGACACTGTGAAATATTTTTCTTTATCAGTCTGCATCTTTGATTTTCTCAAAAGGACTAATCTCACATCATATCCAAGGTTTAGGTACTCAGTACTAATCCCCTTTATAGTCACAATTCTATCACTGAGGTGCTTTCTAACAAGGGAAGATTTTCTTTTGTATTTGAGAAAACTCTTTCAGAGTCAACATCCATGATATCGTCAGAGTAATATCAGTGCTTGACCCAGTCTTTATAAAGAACAGTGTTGTTAAGGAGTCTATAAATCAGCCCTATCGAGACTTCTCATTCTTCCATGATGTTTCAATAATATTTAATTCATGTGGGGTTTTGGGGTTTTGGGGTTTTGGGGTTTTGGGG